CCATACTGTCGGAGGACTCATTTTCCTGAAGGCTGAATCGCGCATATCAGGAGCGTCTGTGCCGAGGCGCCAGACTTTCTTACATTTGCCTTCCTGTTCACCATTCTTGAACTTACTGTTTGTTTAGTTGAATGGAAAAAAACTCGGCACAACGCGACGCGCGTGGCATGTGTTGGGCTATAAGATCGTTTGACACTTAATTATTAATTCTTCCATAACTCCTGTCATGTTCTGATCATCCATAGTCTGGGATTGGCAATCGTGTCCTTTGCGCTCGCAACAGTGGTGACACTTTCGACGTTCACGCTTACGCCTTTAATCTGCTGACTTAGATTTGCTGCTTGTATGTAGTCAGTTCCCCTTGATTCTGTCTGCCACCACGCCCTCTACGGATTCTAACGATGCCTCTATTTCTCCCAATGGCGCTGCTTTGTCCCTCCCATACATCTGGCAACATGCGCCTGAACCTTATTTCTTCCGTATTGAGGCAACGTTTCACTCTGAAAATGTAACACGAGAAACCGACAAGTATTATAATTTTGTCGAGGCTCTTCCTCCTACCATTCTTTCCCAAGTGCAGACATTTTTTGTATGATCTCCCGACTGATGCTCCATATACGAAGTTAAAGACTGAACTTCTTCGCCTGACCTCAGTTTCAGATCGTCAGCGTTATCATGCAATCGTAAAAGAAGAGGCCTTAGGTGATCGTAAGTCGTAGGAACTCCTGCGTCGTATGCGTTCTCTTGTTGGGAAAATGGCCATCGATGATAAGTTCTTTAAGGAGATGTTATAGGAGCGTCTGCCTAGATCGGTGCAAACAATCTTGGCCTGAGGCTCAGATGAAGTAGACATCTCAAAACAACGGAAATGGCCGATCGTATAATGGAGGTTGAGCATTTGTCATCCACAACGGTTCCTCAGGTTTCACAGCCTCTCACTGCGTCCACCTGGTTGAGCTAAAGACACAGATTGCCCAATTGTCGGCGACTGCTGTCGCTTTGCAGCTGCGCCGATCTGCCGGCCCATCTCGACGTTCCTTTGGCCTTCACCGTCGTCGTTCCAGCTCTCGCCCTAGGACCTCAAGCCTATGTTGGTATCATGTAAACCTTGGCGATAAGGCGCCCCAATGCCTCCCACCCTGCTCCTTCAAGTCCATACAGGGAAACTCCTCGGCCAGATAATAAATGCGACCGAGCTCTCTGGCAACTCTATCAGTCGCACATTTTACATTTGTGATAACACGAGTGACAGACGTTTTTTAATCGACAATGGCGTTCAAAGTAGTATTAGCCCTCCAACCCCGGCCGACCGACGTTGTCTCACCCATGGTCTTTTTCTCCAGGCTGTAAACCCTTCCTCCATCGTCATTTTTGGATCCCGATTAATCTCCCTTGACATTGGTCTCAGGCGACTTTTTCCTTGAATTTCTTTAGTGGCTGATGTTCTTACTGCTATCCTTAGTGCTGATTTTTGGCCGCCTTCGACCTTCTGATGGATTGCAGGCAACTTCGCATCCATGACCGCACAACTACCCTCACCGTCAAAGAATTTTTTCCATTCTCAGCTTTTAAAAATCTATTCGTTTTTGACCCAAACTCTAACTGTCCATTCCGTAAACTTTTAGCAAAATATCCTACTCTCAATAGGCCCCACGTTTCTGACTCTTAATTGCCCCATGATATTGTTGATCACATAAAAACTACTGACCCTCCCGTTTACTCTCGTCTCGGCCATCTTGCTCCCACCCGCCTTGCAGCTGCTGAGGCTGGATTTGAACATATGTTGCAACTAGGCGTTATTCGACTGTCTGAGAGTTCGTGGTCATCTCCTTTGCACATGGTTCCTAAACCACAAACGAATGGCTGGCGCCTATGCGGTGACTATCGGGCCTTGAACAATGTCACCATCCCAGACCGCTATCCTCTTCCTCATCTCCAGGACTTTTCCCGAGCTCTCTGTGGCAAAACCGTTTTCTCGAAGATTGATTTGGTCCGGGCTTTTCATCAAATTCTGATGGCGTCTGAGGACATTCCCAAAACGACAGTGATGGCCTCTTTTGGCTTGTTTGAATTTCTTCCTATGCTATTTGGTCTCCAAAATGTCTCAGAGACTTTCCAAAGTTTCATTGACCGTGTTTTACGTGGCCTTCCATTTGTTTTTGCGTATATTTCTGATGTTCTCGTCACAAGTCCGGATGTCGAGGAACATCTTCAACAGCCTACCCCACTTTCCGACCGATTTCAGCTGTCTGGCGTCACCCTGCATCTTGCCAAATGTGTCCTAGGAGCCACTTCTCTCGAGTTCTTAGGTCATCTGATTGACTCCAAAGGCATTCGGCCTCTTCCCTCAAAGGTTGCCCGAATTCGGGACTTTCTACCCCCCACCTTGAAGCGTCAGCCGCAACGGTTCCTTGCGATGGTAAAATTTTATCGTCGGTTTCTCGCAAACTGTTTCGACGACATCCTCCTACTGACTAATCTCCTCGCAGGTTCTAGACGAATTTTCTCACTTAAACCGACAGCACTCACGTCGTTTGAGCAGGTAAAAGCCCTTCTGGCTAATGCCACCCTCCTGACTCACTTTCTTGAGGATTTACCCATATCGCTGATGGTCGATGCCTCCAATGTTGCTGTTGGTGCGGTTCTCGAACAAAGTCTGCCAGATTCTACCGTGCCTTTAGCTTTCTTCTCCAGGAAATTATCCAAGGTCGAAACCCGCTACAGCACATTCGAACGTGAACGTATCGCCGTTTATCTTGCCGTGGGGCACTTCCGGTATTTACTGGAAGGTCGAAGGCTTGAAGCGACATTTAAGTCCGTTTTTTACACAGTTACAATGCGCGTTTTAAAGAGCATGACACAACCTTGAATAAGACATAAAACAAGCACGTGCATTGCTGTCTACAAACGATTTTGTTCTTACGTACTAGTTTGTAAATGTTGGGATACCACCATCTTTGTTTCCTGGATGGATAGCCTACTCACTGTGCTCAACTAATGGGTTTATCACTTGAGTTTTCACAATTTTTGTAGATCACAAGCCATTCACCTTTGCTCTGCAGTCCCACTCCGACAAACTAAACCCCCGGAGATCCAATTCCAGGACTACATTTTACAGTTCACTTCAGACATCCACCATATGGACGGGTCTCGGAATGAGGTGGTTGACACACTGTCCAGGCCTCCTATCGCTCACCTCCAGCTTTCACCCGGGATCGACTTCGCTGAGATAGCCGCTGAACAACGCTATGCCGGTTCACCCTGTGATGAGGATGTTTCCAGACTAACTTTAAGAGCTACCACTGACAACTGCCAACAGCGTCATTAAATATGACGTATCAACCCCATCCCATCGTGCGTTTGTGCCGCCATCCCTCCGTCGTAAGGTCTTCTCCTCCGTGCACAGTCTATCTCACCCTGTAAGTCGAGCTACCGACAAACCGGTTTCTGACCGCTTCGTCTGTCCTGGGATGCACAAAGACCTCAAAGCATGGACAAGAGCTTGTATCGCCTGTCAGCGGAGTAAGGTCCAACGGCACAACAAGGCCCCCATTGGCACATTTCCCAGCCCTGGTGCAAGGTTCAGCCACGTTCACCTGGACATTGTAGACACCCTGCCTCTGTCCAATGGTTGTTCCTATTTTCTCATCTGTGTGGATCGGTTCACCTGGTGACCGGAAGTTATCCCTCTGCCTGACATTGCTGCTTCAACAGTCGTCAAGGCTTTCCTCAGTCGCTGGGTTGTCATTTTCGGTGACTCCCTCCACAAACACGACTGACCGTGGTGCCCAGATTGAGTCTAACCTCTTCCAGTCTTTCGTCTCCTTTTTAGGCTGTACTCGCATCCGCACTGCAGCCTATCACCCGGCCGTCAACGGGATGATCGAGCAGTTTCCTTGTCAGCCGAAGGCCTCCCTACGCGCCGCAGACGATCCGGAGAACTGGAGGAGCCACCTCCCCTGGTCCTGTTGGGCATTCACACCTCCCTCAAGTCGGACCTTGACTTTTCCACTGCTGAATTCGTGTTCGGTGCCACCGTCCGGCTCTCCGGTCAGATGATCTCGCCAACCCCGCGAGGTGCGGTTGAGGATCCTACCAACCTCCTGCACCGCCTCTGACAGTTTATGCGAACACCTTCGCCGATGCCGCCCAGGTCCTCCGCCTCTCCGTCTTATCTCGAGAAGGACCTCACAACGTGCTCTCACGTCTATCTTCGATGTGATCGAGTTCGCCGTCCTCTGAACCACCCCGTGACGGCCCATTCCGAGTGCTCTCTCGCGGAATGAAGACGTTCCTCATTCAATGCAACAACCGTGCGGAGGTCGTGAGTGCGGACCGCCTCATATCATCTGTCCCAGACATTTTATCGGACGAGTGCTGTGGTATCTTACTCTCTGCTCCCCCACCTCATCCAGCCTCTATTCAGCCGTTCCGTATTTTCCCTCTTTCCCCCTTCCCTCTACCTCCAAGTGCCACCTCTAACTCCAACACTTCCGCCAAAGGACGTATCCACTCTTCTCCGGACCCAGTATATATCACTCGCAGTGGTCGTCACGTCCACTTTCCTGATCGTTTCGTTACTCACTTCATTTAGACGTATACACATCCTTCGGTTTCGTTTCTGCCGCCCTCCGGTCTCCGAAGGGGGGGGGGGGTGGGTACTGTGCCGAGGCCTTAGACTTTTCTTTAATAACTCCTGTCTTATTCTGATATCCATAGTCTTGGATTGGCAACCGTGTCCTTTGTGCTCGCAACACGTCCTCAGACCTCCATCTGCACTCTGGCGGGAAGCTATCGTGAGACTCCCTTCAAGTGGGCATCAGTGCTGACCTCGAACCTCCGACCTCCATGCAGGAGAGGAAGGAGACTGGTGCAATAAACATACAACGGAAAAGCTACGAGCAGATACTTAACTCCAGCCAACACTTGCGAAAACAGATCTCCTAACTTCATGAACAATCTTGCCTCATTTATTCAGGAGATGTACCAAAAGAGACAGATCCCGCAGGATTTCAAGAATGCAACCATTGGTCATATTTACGACCGAAACCGCCAGATCCACGGTAGCCACACAGCAGTGCTGGTGAGATATTTGCCCGCTGATCACACGGCTGTCTGAACACACATAAGACTGGGTCTACCTCCGGGAACAAAATGAGGAGTTCCTAAGCAATGTGGACTATGGACATGGCCTTCATGGCACGCCAGCAGTGTGGGGAAGGGCCACAAATGCTGACCAGCAACCAAACTATGTTTGTGGGCTTCAACAGAGACGTCCAACGCAGTAAAAAGGTAATAGACTCTGGAAACGTTTGACTGAGATTCAGAAGCTTGGAGCCAGTTACGCACGCGTCATGGACAACCGCTCAGATCTAGATGAATTTGTGGTGAAGAATGAGGTGAAGCAGGATTCTGTGCTTGCTCTCATCCTCTTCGCTCTCATGTTCTCCGTCATTTTGTTTGGTGCCTACCGTCAGTAGTGATCTGGGATTATCAGCACCTACCTAACCAACGGACAACTGCGCAACAGTCGACTTATACAGACAATGATGATACTTTCCGAGTTCACTGTTCATGAGCTCTTAGTTCTGCGGATGACTGCCCACCGAACACCATAAAGGAGGAGATTCTGTAACGAAACGGGGAACTCTTTGTATAGGACCGCCCTGTTGACGACGCTTACGTACGCGGCGAAGAGCTGGACAGTTTACAAAAGAGAGACAAGCAAGCTAAACCACTCCTACCTTAGCTATCTCTGGTGCATATCAGAGCAGAGATGGGAAGTGGGGATGAACTGAGAGTACCTGCCTAGTAGTCTACTCTGCAGCAACGACAACAGGTATAACTTGTCCACCACCTTCTACAGTATTTCTGACTTTAAACAATTCATTTGAAAATGTTGGAATAGTTTAATATGAACCGTACGGAAGTCCAACTCGCGAACTTTTCTTCTTGCTTTACGTTAATTTTATTGCACTTCAAAATGACCGTTTTTCTTGTTGACGTCTTTCTCAAACCTTCTGTATCCATCGCGTTAATGATATTGATTTAGCTGCTTTTGTCTCTCTGGCCTTACGTTTACTCAAAAATGAAGTTTTGTTGGAAGAAGTTCGTTTCAGCATGGCTCTGCGGAAAAAGGTCCTGTGAGGATAACTTTTATGAATGCGCTGACCATGGGCTTGGTCCACACTCACCAACACATCTGTTTGAAATTATTTTACTTAAGAACTTTCGCAACCTCATTCCGTAATGGTAGGGTGCTCCATTCCGCTGGAAAAATGTTTTGTTCCTACAAATAGGGAAGGAAAAAAATATTCAGCATTGGTATACACTTTTCTCCTTCTTTAGCAAAGGCAAGAGGATACGTGGTGGAGACTTTCTGACTACCCACCACGCACTTACTTTCGCAGAATTCTTAACCTGTTAGCAGCCTTCATGTGGTATTAAATTTCCTCGTCTGCTACGATGATAGCTACTGACTTTGCCGAGAAAAGCCGCCTCATCTGAAAAGGTCAGCTTATCAATAAACACAGGATTTTTTCACTTTCTGACTGTTTCAGATGGCAAAAATCTAGCCTCGTCTGTCAGTCTTCTTCGTGTAATTTGGAGGAAAATTTAGCCCACTGACTCCTCCCCGAATGGAAGTTTTTGAGTTCCTCTCAAGAGCTTCAGCCATTCTAGCCACGGTCTCCCCACCCATTTCCGGGTATCTAAGGTAGTGGTTTGTTAACTAATCCAGTTTATTTTTAAATCTGTATCCGTCTATTCCGTGCATTTCTTCGGGTAGCATCTGCTTGTAATGAGTTGTGTTAAGTGCCTTATCGCGGACAGTATTGATCTGATTCCGACAGTGTGAGGCACCCAGTTAATCTTTTTTCCCAAAATATTCTATTTATATAATCAATAACCCAAAGTGGAAGAAAAGCAACAAAAATGAATTAGAAAGAACTAAAAGAGTGGGGTTGATAAATTTAGAAGTTTAGAGTTCATTTATCATGCAGTTTTATCTGATGGCCTTGACATTTATACAATGCAGGTTACTAAATTTCTTTGGTGCATGACTTTTTAACCATCCCCATTCCTAAAAGAAAAATGCCGAACACTGAGGACGGGGTTATTTACAGCCCTTTCAAATCTTCGCATAGAAATCGCGGTTTGGCCGAACGCATTATATACATATGACTTCTTGTTTACTCATTTCTGGCCGACGTGTGAATTCATCTGACTCCCTTGTGAAGAAAGCTTGGTGACTACAGTGGAATTCGAGCCCACGACGGCAAAAGCAAGACCAGAATGCAGCTAGCGCTTTAACTGCCCAATCTACAAGTTCCCGACCGGGAGCAGTGAACTTAATCACATTTAATCAATTTGCTGTCCTAGCCTACTGAAACTTCGGAATTTCACCAATTATGATACAGTAAGCCGACCACCGAAGCGGGATTTTCCAAGTTGAATTACTCAAATCTACAAAAATCCTACTAGTTGACTTGCGAATATCGCCCTATAAAATGGTCGCCATAACCGCGGAAAGTACTGCTGCAGCCCCAACAATCCGTGCAAATTAAATTTAATGTCTGTGACGTTGCTTTATTTTCACAGCTTAGTTGACATATTACAAGCATTTTTTTGCTTCTAACCCATAAAACCGTATTAATTATAGTTTTGGACTTTTTAGCCGCCTTCCTATTTCGCGGTAGCTGTGGTTAGTTCCTCTATGGAGCAGGCGTTAGCTTTCTCCAAATCTGAAAGCTATGTTCCTCGCCAACCGCTTTCAGTTGGATAATGGCTGCTAGCGGAATGCATCTGCCCTTGCTCGGTGTTTAGTTAGTCTTCGCGAGTGTGCGCTTAATTGGTTAGAAAATGCTACCTTCCAAATAACTAATATCCATAATGATGGAAACTGATTACCGGTGAACTACTGGGCAAGCCATCCATGAGTACGCTCTGGTACAGCACGCGCCAGCCCATGCTACAGTAGTCAGTTCTAAATTTAACTTTTTGAGTAATGGATGGAGCTCAGTCTGATTAAAACCTGAAAAATATGAAGAGTGGCCGCCATTACAGTAAACTTTCCCTCAACCATTGAGATAAAATCACAGACGCTCTGGGCATGGCACTAAGTACGATCCACCTCCACGGAACGCATTGCTCGCGTCATGTGAGACAGAATTGTATCCTTCTAATTATTTGGTGGTCGTTTGTTTAACCACCCGGTCGTCATGCTAACTATTTCCAGAACTTCGGTAAGACTCGTACCGGGAAATTTGTATCCCGCATTTGATTCAGTGAATGAAGACGCAGCGCTACAACTGAGGACGCCAAGATCTAAATGTAAATCATGGTAAAGTAAGTAACTGCACGAAAAAGCCGACCGTCAGAAAACACTGAATGGTATTTAAGAATGATAACTAGCAGTACGCTCAAGAATCCTTGAGGTCATTTTGGCTGCCACGGGTACTTCGAATCTTGATATGAAAATAATAGTTGGGAGAAAATGAAGAGAACTAGCGGCCAAAAAACCCTTTGTCAGCTTTATTTAAAACAATATATTACGAAACGTTAAGATGGTTTGTTATGTAAACAAACAAACTGTCAAAATAAGATGTCAGAAGTCGGTGAATTATTTCTGCGATCCTTTGACTAGGCTGTATATATTTTGCAAAATATAATCCCAACCATTTAACATGATGGCCCACAATGCTACATAAAACTATATTAATGTGCGGTCTTTACAGCCTATATATGCATACAAGTTTACTACTATGGCAGAGTGCACCCTACACCTTTTTAAAAATTTACCGCTTTCACCGTTAAGAGGGGCATAAATATGATTAATTGTTTGTCTACTTTTTGACGTCTCTCTTTTAACAGTCTTGATGGAAGAACAGACTGAGAGTTAGACCCTCGTTACTGACGACATCCACCGTGTGCTGCATGATGGGATGGCAGCAAGGATGGTGACTTGCGCGTGAATTCGTTTGTATTGATAGAGGACTTGCGCAGTGTCTACCGCATTCTTCCCTTCCCCACCTAGGCCAGGTGCCATGAAAGACTCAAGAATACCAGGGGTGGAAGAGGGTGCAGGTGACTGGCGCAGCAAAAACCCGCACCTTTGCGCGTGCCACCACGCCGGTTCGGAGCCTACTAATTGGGATTTTCATGGAGTTCACATTAAGAAGGAAGCACTGCAACCTGACTTTCATTTCACCAGCCAGCCACTCGACCCATAAACACACACTGGGCTGGCTGATAGGCCCGAATTATCCTGTCAGTTGCCAGCCCTCCAAGCCACGGCTTTTAGCGCACCGTGATAGATTCAAACGCATCAGACTGTTGATAGTGAGGAATATGTATGTGCTGAGATCGTTCGTTGACCTCACTCTCCCCACTCACAGGCACCAGTCCACTGTCCGGGTAGGTCATATGTCTGGTGAGAGGAGGGAGGGGGTGCAGTGTTTGAGAGAGATAGGTAGCCCATCTGCGCACGCCACATGCACGACCTGTCCCCTCCCCCCCCCACGCAAACGCCGACGCCATGATTATACACGGGGGGAAGTAACTCGGATCTCACGAGTGTGAGAGTGCCATTAAGAAGGAGATATCGAAGTTTGATTCTCAGTCTACCAGTCAGTCACTCATCTCACAAACGCACAAGTGGGCTGACTGCGTGGTATTGTTGCGAACGCAAAGAACACGATTGCCAATCAAAGACTATAGAGATCAGGATAAGACAGGAGTTATGAGAGAATTAATAATCAAACGTCAAATGAACTGATAGTCCAACACGTGCCACGCGCGTCGCGTTGGGCTGAGTTTTCTTCCATTCATTTAAACAAATAGTAAGTTCAAAAATGGTGAACAGGTAGGTAAATGCAAGATAGTCTGGCACCTCGGCACAGTACCCCCCTCCCAGACCGTAGGGTGGCGGAAACGATGTCGGAGGATGTGTACAGGTCTAAAAGAAATGAGTGACCAACCGATCAGGAAAGTGTACATGACGACCACTGCGAGTGATATATACAGGGTCCGGAGAAGAGTGGACGCGTCCTTTGGTGGAAGTGTTGGAGTTTGAGGTGGCACTTGGAGGTAGAGGGAAGGGGGAATGAGGGAAAATACTGCTAATGCCGCTAATGGTGGGCATGCTTGTAAGTGGGGTGTTGTGCGTGGGCGGTGAAGTCAGGTGCGGCGAATGTATGTGGGGACTGCTGTACTGGTGCGCCGGTCGCAGTACGATGGACTTGCAAGTAACCTACTGGCCGATGCGTGAGGTGACACTGTGCGGAAGCAATGAGGACATGTTGGGAACGGATCCACTGCGGCAGCTCGCGTCACCTTGCCCTCCACCTTTGTCACGCTGCCTGTCGATTCGCTGCTGGGACGCGCGAGGCTCGTCACTAGCTTGGCGAGTACTCGAAGTCAATCAACGCTGTCCTCCTCTGATTGGCTGGCGGACGCTGAGACAACGAAGAGCGCGCACACGTGCTGGGTCTGAGAACGTCGACGGCGGACACAGACAACACATCAAGCGAATAATTTCAGAAATTATTCAGTGCAGGACATGGAGATAAGTCTCCGGGACATGACTTTTTGGGGTCAGACCCGAAATTTCAATGAACATTCGAGTCGAAGACAATCAACTGCTGTGGAATAACCACGTAATGCCCATTCTGCAAGCAAGTATTACTACGATTTAGCGTACTAACATCACAGGTATTAGCCAACAGCCCAGACACGCGTGTTTCGCCGATCTTATGCCGCTGCCTGACGCAGCTGCGAGGGGTTCGGCTCGTCAGTGGGTCCCCCAGCTTTCCCCGTGTGTTTTCTGGTATATGAAAATTTGGAGTGTGCCTGAAAATGTCCGTTTCGAAAGATTTACTCCAAGTTCGCGCATTAATTTCCCCGGAAATTAAACAAGGCAAGTTGAAACTTCAGTTCATATACCAGAAAACACACGGGGAAAGCTGGGGGATCCACTGACGGGCCGAACCCCTCGCAGCTGCGTCAGGCAGCAGCATAAGATCGACGAAACACGCGTGTCTGGGCTTTTAGCTAATACCTGTGTCGTTAGTACGGTAAATCATTGCACAATTCCACACTACTGGCTGCCTGTTGGCGGTTTGTGAATATTAAGCGGTTATTCTGCAGTAGCTGATGGATTTCAGCTCAAATATTCATATTAAAATTTGGAGCGTGCCTGAAAAGGCCCGTTTCGAAAGATTTAATCCAAGTTCGCGCATTTATTTCCTCAGAAATTAAACAAGGCAAGTACTACGAGTAGTGTGAAATCCATATCGTAAAGGCATTAGACTGTACTCCAGACATAGATACTAACCAAAAGCCCACACACGTGTTTGCCCGATATTCTGCCGCTGCGTGACACAGTTGCGGGAGATTCGGCTCCCCAGTGGGGCCCCCCAGCGTTCTCTTTGCGGTTTTTGGTATATGAACTCCAGCTGTGTCACGCAGCGGCAGAATATCGGCGAAACACGTGTCTGGGCTATAAGTTGGTATCTGTGTCGGGAGTACGGTATAATTCCTTTACCATACAGACAACACAACCTGACTGGAGAGCGCGCTCGCGGTGACTGCTTTCAGAGCCTTTGTGTATGTACTTCCTAAGCAGTAAAGGTTGTCCAAATCAATCCGTCTTCCCTGACTTCTGATTTGGGAATCGTAGTCTTCTCGACTACGCCACTTCTGCCAATTGGTGGCCCCTTGCAAACAGCTATCTTCCTTCTTCTTAATCTACGATAAAGTCAGGCGTTAGTCATGGACAATTTTCTACAGGAAGTGCAGCTTATTTTGGCGTCCGCTTTTGGCATTCTTTCGGCCACACCACTTACCCGAATGGCCGAACGGCCTATGGAGATGCACTCTCAACGCCCTTTATTCCTTCCGCATCTTTCCTTCCGCAGTTGGAGATCGGGCTTACCAGGCTGGCCGATGATATAGCCCCTCTCCAAAAGCAGACAGTTTTTCCCTCATCTCAGGGCCAACCGAAGCCATCCACCCCGCATGTTCAGTCTGCACATTCAACCCGTTCAAACACAGCCGCCATTTGCTGGTATCAAACCACCATTAGTGTTAAAGCCCGTTACCACATCAACCCCTGCTCCTCTACCTCCAAACAGAGTAAACGGAGCAAACGGGTCAGTCTGAAGGTTGGTGCAGCCAATCTGCCTCGCAGCTCTGACGCTGGTCACTTACTGTACATCCGCGACACGCGGAATGATAGCCGTTTCTTGGTTGACACTGGTGCGTAAATATGTGTCTTTTCACCTACACCAGTTGATCGTCGGTGCCCCAATCCTGACCGTTTCCCATAGGCTGTTAACGCATCGCCGATTACCACCTTCGGCACCTGCTACCTCTCTCTGGAAATCGGTCTCCGGCGTCTTTTCTCGTGGGTCTTCGCCGTTGCTGACCTCCTCTGGCCATTTTTGGTGCAGATGTTGCGAGCGCTAAGGACAGAACCGTCAATCCCAGACTATGGATATCTGAATAAGACCAGAGTTACGAAAGAATTAACAATCAAAAGTCAAACGACCTGACAATCCAAGAGATGCCGAGCGCGTCGCGTTGTGTTGTGTTCCATCCATTCAGTTAAACAACCAGTAAGTTCAAGAATGAGGAACTGGTAGGGAAAGGCAATAGAATCTGGCGCCTCGGCACAGTACCCCCTCTGAGACCGGAGGGTGGCGAAAACGATGTCGAAGGATGTGTACAGGTCTAAAAGAGATGAGTAACCCACCGATCAGGAGAGTGAACGTGACGAGTACTGCGAGTGATATATACAGGGTCCGTAAAAAAGTGAATACATCTGGTGGCGGAAGTGTTGGTGTTAGTGGTGGCAGTCGGAGGTAGCGGACAGGAGGGCAGAGGGATAATACGAAACGGTGGAATAGAGGCTGCAGGTGGGGGAGCAGAAGGCAGAGGACCACAGGGCTCATCCGGAGGAGTGTCCGGGATGGCAGCCTTGAGACGGTCCACACTCACGATCTCTTCACGATTGTCAAGTTGAATGCGGAAAGTCTTTATCCCTCGAGAGAGCACCCGAAATCCGCCGTCATAGGGCGGTTCCGGAGGCCGGCGAACTCGATCACATCGAAGATAGACGTGAGAGCACGTTGTCAAGTCCTTCTCGAGATAAGATGGAGAGGTGGACGGCCTGGGCAAAATCGGAGAAAGTGCCCGCATAAATTGCCAGAGGCGATGCAGGAGATAGGTGGGATCCTCAACTGCACCTCGCAGGGTTGGAGAGACCATTTCACCGGGGAGTCGGACGGTGGCGCCGAAAACCAGTTCAGCTGAGTAACAGTCAAGGTCCGCATTGAGAACGGCGCGGATGCCCAAGAGGACCAGGGGAAGGTGATCCATCCAGTTCTCCGGATCGGCCACGGCGCGCAGGGAGGCCTTCAGCTGGCGGTGAAACCGCTCGACCATCCCGTTAGCAGCCGGGTGATAGGCTGTCGTCCGAATGCGAATACAGCCTACACAGGAGAGGAAAGACTGGAAGAGGTTAGACTCAAACTGGGCACCAGGGCGGGGAAAGATGCCAATGGGAGCCTTATTGTGCCGCTGGATCCAACTCCGTTGGCAGACGATACAAGCCCGTATCGATGCTTTGAGGTCCTTGTGCATCCCAGGCCAGACGAAGCTTGTCGGTTGCTCGACTCTCAGGGTGAGATAGACTGTGCAGGGAGGAGAAAACTTTGCGGCGGAGGGATGATGACACAAATGGACGATGGGAAGGGGTAGATACGTCGCATAAAAAGGTGTCGTTTCCATTTTTTAGTTGTAGTTCCTCCCACTGGTCCTTTTAGGCATTCGCACCTCCCTCAAGCCGGGCCTTGACCGTTTCGCTGCTGAACGCGTGTTCGGTGCCACCGTCCGACTTCCCAGTGAGATGATCTCGCCAACCCCGCGAGGTGCGGTTGAGGATCCCACCAACCTACTGCACCGCCTCTGACAGTTTATGCGAACACCTTCGCCGATGCCGCCCAGGTCCTCCGCCTCTCCGTCTTATCTAGAGAAGGACTTGGTAGCCTGCTCTCACGTCTACCTTCGGTGTGATCGAGTCTGCCGGCCTCTGGAACCACCCTGTGATGGCCCATTCCGTGTGCTTTCTCGGGTAACGAAGAAGTTCCTCATTCAATGCGACAATCATGCGGAGGCCGTGAGCGTGGACCATATTAAATCTGCCGTCCCGGACACTCCTCCGGATGAGCCCTGTGGTCCTTACTCCTTGCTCCACCCACCCGACCCTCTATTCCTCCGTCCCGTATACTTCCTCTGTCCCCATGTCCGCAACCCCCAACTGCAACTACCCTCTTATCAACTTTCAACACTGTAACCGCAAGCCATACTCTTCACTTGTGCCCCCTGTATAGATCACCCGTAGTGGGCGCCGTGTTCATTTTCCTGACCGTTTGGTTACTCATGTTTTTTAGGCATGAGCAATTCCTTCGGCGTCGTTACGCGCCGCCTTCGGTCTAGACGAGGGTTACTGTGGCAGTTCGAGTCTTCTTGCCTTCTGCATTTGTCACGCTGCCTTCCTGTCCGCCTCACGTTCCCTGCCGATCCGCTGCTGGGACGCACGTGGCTTGTCACTAGCCTGGCGAGTGCTCGAAGCCAATCAACGCTGTCCCTCCTCTGATTGACTGGCGGACGCTGAGACAACGAAAGGCGCAAACACGCGCTGCGTCTGAGCCCCTCGAAGGCGGGCACAGATAAGAACAACTTGTTTGCTGAGCGCGCTTACGGCGACTGCTTACAGAGCCTTTGCGCACGCACTTCCGCAGCAGTAAAGGTTGTCCAAATCAAACCGCCTTCCCTGACTTCTGATTGAGGAATCTTTGTCTGTCGACCACATCACATCACTGGAACTGGGGTGGTGGTTGACCGGGCGTCAGGAGTGTTTTGACCGGTGGTGTGAGCGGAAGAGGCGGTGGTCGTGGAAGCTAATATCGGGGCAGGGGTGTTGGAGCAGGGCGGTCGGGGAGGCAGCAATTGGAGTTGTCGGATTGTGGGTACATTGGGTCCAGAGATGTCCGACGGAGCCGATCCGCGGGCTGAATGTTCGTTGACAGCATGAGCACATTGAGAAGGGTTTGAGGTTGGTTTCGCGGGTGAGGGACGCCAGAGACTTGCGAGTTTCTTTTTGGATTTTGTAGCGGTGATCCGGTTGGCTCCATAGGCTGCTGCTCCAGCCTTTACAGCTATTCTCCAGGCCGGTCTGTTCTGTGTGAGGTCCTCCCAAGTTTTCAGGTTGATCGGTAGTCGTTTCAAGGGATTCTTCAGGGTGCCCTTGTTGCAGCGGGTTTGACCTCCGTGGCGACAACTCAACGGAAGATTTGTTTTGGTAGGCTAGCGGTGTTCATCCTCAAGAGATGGTCACCCTATCCCAGTTGCAACAGCCTCAGCATGACGTGGATGCTGAGGATTCCAGTCATTCCCAAAACTTCCCTGTACGGGATTCTGACTACTGATTCAGCTTTAGTATCCGACGGAGACAAGTGAGACGAAAGTGACTGACATTCCGCGCTTGTCTCTTGCAGACTGCCCAGGTCTCCAAGCCATACAACAAAGCCATAAAAATGGCCGCTTTGTCCATCTTCAGTAAGGTGTTGAGGTGGACACTGTGGTGACTCCATGCTGAGTTCTGCAGCCCCGTTAAAGATTGGCTGGCCTTGTAGATCTGATGAGCCACTTCGTCATCGATTTTGCTGAGGCGGGAGATTGTACTGCCTAAGTTGGCGAAGTTGCCTACGGTTTTCATTTGGGTGTCGTTGACGTGGGTGCGAGGAATATTATATGTAACGGTAGGCGGCGGTTGATGCGTGACCACCGTTTTGTCCGCGTCGATGGCCAGCCCGAAGTTGGCGTGGGCGGAGAGGAAGAGGTTCATGCTCCATTGCATGTCTGCTTTTGTCTTGGTGTTGAGCGCTCAGTAAATGGCAAAGTGCAGATTGTGAATATTGGTCGTGGAAAGACGCGTTGAGGTCTTCATGCGCCGGTTGTTGAGTGGATGGCCATCGGTCTTGTGGCGGGGTGAATCTCGGAGAGCTCATCACGGTAGGCGCCCATCAGCATGGCAGATAACATAAGGCTACGGAGGGTGGGGGAGAGTACGCGGCCCTATTTCACTCTGTTGGTTACAGAAAATGCTTCTGAGACGGTCACATTGTCCGTGACGCGCGCCACCATCCCGTCGTGGAGCTGATGCACTGTGTGCATGAATATATCAGAAGACCCCAGTTTCTGTATGATTTTACATAGTCCGTCGCGACTCACTGTGTCGAATGCTTTCGTCAGGTCCACGGAGGCGGTGTAGAGGTGGATCCGCATTTCCTGGAATTTCGCTTGTAGTTGGCAAGTGTCGGTGGTTTCACGGTGGTATCGGAAACTACACTGGCCTTCCGGCAGAAGATCGTGTTCGAGATGGAAGATCAGATGATTTAGGAGTATGCGAACGAAGAAATTACCGGCGATGTTTAGTGGTGAGATTCCTCGGGGTTGCCGGTCCCCTTTCCGCTTGAAGAGATGAACGATTCTTGCATTCTTCAAGTTCTGAAGAACCTGTCCACAACGACACATCTCCTGGAATAGCATTGCGTGTTGATCCATCGGCCGGCGGCCGCCGTGTTTTTAGACGACGGCCGGGATCACAGTGGATCCCGATGCTCTCTCAATAGGGAGTTGGCGTACGGCTCTGATTATTTCCGGGCGCAAAAGCGGGAGGTGCAAGTCGCCGTTCATTTCCACCTGAGGGAAGTGGTCGATGACAGCATCGCGATTGCGGATAGGCGGTGGAGGACACTTCAACAGTTCTTGGTCCAGCACTTCAAAATGTGCGATTTCTCCGTCAGATCTGAGAAGCCGCGCGGTTCCTTTTGATTGTGGGGCCAGAGATTGTTTTGATTGATGCGAGGAAATTCCTTGTTTCATTGCGGCCCGCATACCCCCGGATTTCCTCGATCTTGCGAGCCATCCAAACGTCCTGTATTTCTCGTAGTCGTCGCTGAACAAGGAGGCGACGTCTGAAGAAGACTGCTTTGTTTGTGTTGATCAGACAGTCAATTTAGGCTTCGTGCAGCGTGCTCTGTTCAGCGAGCAGGTTACTGACGTCTGCGTTGTGGTCGTCGAACCCGTCCTGGTATTGACGACTCGTGCGTCCAAGAATGCCTAAAGCAGTGAAGTAGATAGCATTCCGAAATTGACACCACCAGGTCTCCGCGGTGGTGATGTCATCCGGGGCCTGCAGTTCACCGGGATTCTGAATTACTTGATTGCCGAAAAGCAAGCGGTGATTAGACAAATTCAGCAGAACAGTATTTTACTTACCTGATGGTCGCTTACCTTGTGGCATCCTGAGGAGTTGTAATCAGAGCCTCACTCTAGCAGCCTGTGGGTTGGACATAAGGGAGTGAGACTTGGGTTGTCGTTTCTTTTATTGTTTCGACCGTGAGTTTTACATCTGCGGCCAGCGATCTGCGTGCAGATGACGTGATCCCAGAATTCGCTTAGGGAACCTTTTCTAGTTCCACCCGTCGTGGGGTGGTAAGCAGTGCCGTCGTCAGCTAGCGGCGCTGAGATATCCTGGACGGCTGCCGTAGTCTACAATGAGTTACGGCTTGATTTGGTGAGAGAGCGGGCCAAATTAGCCTGGCCCGCCTACGGGCTGCAGGTCACCATCTCCGTAGGGCTTTTTGAAGTGGAAAGTGGGAGGGAGGGGGTGGCATGATAGAGAGGGGGGAAGGGGTGGGAATATGAGCGAAGTGACCTGGTATGGGGCCACACAACGGTCCAGTCCACCGGTCGATGTGGTTACCGGATTGTGGCCACTAAGCCGAGCCCACCCTCGGGGAGCCGCAGATGAGGGTTGGGAGGAGCCGTGAGGAGCAGTCACCATTCACATGGTGTGACCTACCACCCATACAGGGATGCCCCTAACTGGACAGTCCTACACCCCAGGGAAAGCCGAATGTTGATATCTACACGAAAAAAATAGTTCCGATAGGATTTTTCTGCAAGGACATAGGCGCTTTATCAGTGTACCATAAAATCAAAATGCAGTATTAGGCACCCTCGAAATATATTCCAGGTGTTCCATTACCACTTGACCTCCCTGTTCCCTGCATGGGACCTTTCACGCAGGCATGCATGACATTTCTTGACTTTCTCACAAACTAGTCACGGGTATCTACCCCTAATTGATCAACCGCAGCGGATGGAAAAATAGGTACAGTTTTCATCGACGATCAATTTTTCCTGCAACACTCGGTGACAAAACACGCCCCAGCTATTCTTCGTCCTTTCTGTGTAGAATTTGTCTCTCCCCTTTCCCTCCTAAGCTAGATTTGATCTGCAGATAGCAGTGGCTCAAGTGTATCCATGACTTTAACTGTTGCGACAGGCATTGCATCAGGAAATGTATCAGGTATTGGGATAACAGGCAACCAGTCAAATGCAAGCGGGACGTAGTTGACTATTGAACGACTAATAGCAGGGAGAAACTTGAAGCAAGCAGCGTCGCGCACTAGCAGGACAGGTACTCGTCGACTGCCGCAAGGCAGCATTTGCCTTGTACTAGACCAGGGCGTGTCGTGGTGACTAAGTGAATTGCTTGCACAAAGATTCCTATTGTGCGTGTTACCAGCAAAAGCGTTTTGAGCAGTCTATTTTTAGAAGTGTGCCGCAGATCCTGTGGCCTTTGTTTGTTGCGATTGGAATATTCAAAACTAGGTCGGTGCTGCGTCCTTGACAGCAGGACGGAATACGAGCAGTCCCTTTCTGTCTTTATCTTCATCCTAGAGTCTTTGTCCCTGCCGACAACACTTCTCGACTACTGAATGCCGACCGCCGTCCGAGTGCCTTATGGACCGCAGACGAAAGACGAAAGGCAAAATGTGTATTTTGTTTCACAGTCAAAATGGCTAAGTTAGCCCAGCTTCGATCTGCTTTCAAACATTTGCATCGTGGCCAGCAGGACACGAATCATGTCCCAGTCCTATATTTTTGTCTTATTACGTAATGAAAAAAAGAGGCGTATTGAGCATTTAGTCCTTGCGATCTAGGTTTGAAGCATGGTTGGCTGTCGTTATTCAGGTACGCATAAATCCGAGTCAAGGCATATTCGTAGTTATTATCCGACCTTTGTCGTTCACTGGACCAACGCTCTACTACTACAACCCCTCGGCTGTGATCAAGCGTGTCTAAAGTCACATGAAAGGGGCTTTCACAGACGGACCCTAATTACATAGTGGAATGCGGGTACGGGCCCATGACGGAAACGTTGAGTTAAAGCCCCAGTGGCAGTTTGACTGTCGTTACCAGCGCTGTACACAGTGTGTTCCATGGCAGGGTGGGCGCAGCGATAGCGACTTACGCGGGAATTAGTTCATAATGATAGTAGACTTGTGCTGCATCTACTGCACTCTCTCCTCCCTCATCTTCCTGGGACCTGTGTCAAGACAGAGTCCAGAAGACGAGAGGCGTGCAGTGGCCGACGAAGCCAAACAGCTCATCTGCGCGTGTCACACACACACACGCCTGGCCTGCTGCGCGCAGGCCAGTTCTCATGCAGCGAGAAAGGTGGTCGGGGACGGCTCAGATTCCAACCGAGTGGCCGTGACACATGAAGGAGGGGCCATAGTAGCCTGGATCTCCGTCTTGAGGGCAGGACCAAGCCATCTCGTCGGTTGGCAGCCTTCAAAGCCGCGGTTTTTAGCGTACTGTGGTAGTTTAAAAGCGCGCCAGCTTGTTTATAATAGAGATGCGCGCTGTGTGTCTTGGGGACGTAGTCCCCCAGAGGAGGCCTCACTCTCTTCTCCCTCCCAGGCACCAGCCCACTGACCGAGCTGGTCAGTTGTCTGATGCAGAAATTGGGCGCAATTGATTGACTGGGCTAAAAAGCCTGTCGGAGGTGGTGTGTGGTTGACAAGACTAAGATTCCCTAATCAGAAGTCAGGGAAGGCGGTTTGAGTTGGACAACCTTTACTGCTGTAGAAGCGTGTACACAAAGGCTCTGTAGACCGTCGCGAGCGCGCTCACCAAGCAGCCTTCGAGGGGCTCAGACCCAGCGCATGTGTGCACCTTTCGTTGTCTCAGCGTCCGCCAGCCAATCAGAGGAGCCTCGCGAGGCCTGACGCACTCGCGAGGCTAGTGACGAGCCTCGCGCGTCCCAGCAGCGGATCGGCAGGGAGTGTGAGGCGGACAGGAAGGCAGCGTGACAAAGGCGGAGGGCAAGGTGACGCGAACCGACACAAGTCCGTCCGCGCGTATCGCACACGGCCTGGTACCCTCACAACACACCAGGTTTTCGCACGAAGTTATCGGCTCGGATTTTACATGCGTGTGACCACCATAAGTCACATTGAAAGGGAACCGTTGGGCCGTACTCTCAATCCACCAGTCGATCATTGCCACACACGGAGTTTATCATCAGTCGGCAAATTTCCAACCCACGGGGTTTAGCACGTCTGGATAGATTGGAGCGGGTCAGATGTATTGTAGTGAGGAATGCGCTAGTGTCGGAGCCGGTCAGTAAAATGATGCTGAGATTGGGCTAACCCTCAGTAATAGGCCTGTGAAGGACGGCGGCAAGTAAGCCAGAACTAACCCGGCTGAATGCATGTGCAGTCAAGTATATACCGCCATAAAGTTAAAATGATGCGCCAATTAGCATATGTCAAAGTCCTAATGTCATCTACTTATAAAGCTGAACTGAAAATTATAACGCGATACGTTATTCGCTTTCGCACATACATGGCATAGCCTGATACTTGTTTATCACAAACGCAGCACAAGTACTGGCTGAGAGCCCAGATGCGTGTTTCGCCGATTGTGTGATGCTGGGGGTGTAGGGATGTCCAGTAGTGAGTCCACGTGATGGTCGTAATAGGTCGCTCACTTGCTTGAAGGTGTTGACTACGTCTAGCGTCCACTAACTGGAACCCAACCGTCATATGCGGTTCCTTGAAGCTCAGCTCTGCCTGGCCGCCAAAACCCGGTAATCGCCTTGATCGGTGGGGTGAACCAGGTTGGGGACATCCGGCATTGTGTGTCACCAAACCCAGCAAATCTGCCTCCCTTCCCATCCCCCCCCTCCCTTTTTCTCACCTCCCTACACACACGGTTTGACTACTCCCTACCCCATCCCTACCGCATTTCAATTCCCCCCTTTCCCTCTCCCCCGCCCCAGCTCCCTCCTCTGTGCTGAGGCGCCAGACCATCTTGCCTTTCCTTACCTGCTCCTCATTCTTGAACTTACTGGTTGTTTAACTGAGTGGAAGGAACACAACTCGACGCGACGCGCTTGGCATGGGTTGGATTGTCAGGTCGTTTGACTTTTGATTGTTAATTCTTTCATAACTCTGGTCTTATCCTGATATTCATAGTCTGGGATTGACGGTTCTGGCTTTAGCGCTCACGAAAGTAGTGACCCCGACATGATACGAACACGCTCACGACACCACTACCACCTCCTCCTCCTCCTCCTCCTCCTCCTCCTCCTCCTCCTCCTCCTCATCCTCCTCCTTCCCCACATTCTCCCACACACACTCTTCCATCTACTTTCTCTACTCTATCCCTTCCCTCACGACAGTAATGTAGGCTACCCAGACCAATCGGGTTGTTCTCTCACTAAACCAATGCACGACCCTCAGTAGAGTCCCTCAATTGTCCGGGATGACTTAGCGGCCCTATTTCGTGTGCTGTGGACGAGGGGATACGCTTAGGTTGACTTCAGTCCTGGTGTTGAACTCGCAGTTGTCGGAGAAGAGCAGATCGTGGATAGTAGGTGTGGAGAGGCGCGTCGGGACCTGCATCCGCCGGCTGTTGAGAAGCCGCCCGTCGGTCCTGTGGGCGATGTGGGTCTGGGGAGCGCATCATGGTAGGAGTCCATCAGCATACCCAAAAACATTCACCGTGCCGTCCACCTGCACCCTTTCTCACCTTCGGTCTTTT